TGTGTTATATAAAATGTTATTTATGGACATTGACCTTTGAATTTATGTAATTTTCTCATGTCATGAAAGATTCTTCTTCTTTTGATTTTTTTCCCCAGTCATTAAAAAGTATAAAAACCATTCTTAGCTTACAGGTTTTTAAAAAACTGGTAGAAAGCTAGATTTGACAGACAGGTCATAGTTTGCCTACCTCTGATCTAAAGTCAAAGAATCCAGGTACACCTGAGTGGCTCAGTCGGTTAAGCATCTAACTCTTTTTTTTTTTTTAATATTTTATTTATTTATTTGTCAGAGAGAGAGAGGCAGGCAGAGGGAGATGCAGGCTCCCTGCTGAGCAAGGAGCCTGAAGCGGGACTTGATCCCAGGACCCTGGAATCATGACCTGAGCTGAAGGCAGACACTTAACCGACTGAGCCACCCAGGTGCCCTGCCCCAAAGACTTATTTTTAATTAATCTCTACACCCAACATGGGGCTTGAATTTATCTTATTTTATTTATTTATTTATTTTTTTAAAAGATTTTATTTATTTATTTGAGAGGGAGAGAATGAGAGACAGAGAGCACAAGAGGGAAGAGGGTCAGAGGGAGAAGCAGACTCCCTGCCGAGCAGGGAGCCCGATGCGGGACTCGATCCTGGGACTCCAGGATCATGACCTGAGCCGAAGGCAGTCGCTTAACCAACTGAGCCACCCAGGCGCCCGGGGCTTGAATTTATAACCGGGAGATCAGGAGCTGCACACTGCACTGACTGAAAGAGCCAGGCACCCCTATCTGGGGTATTTTAAAGCCTCCTCAGCCTTAGGAATGATTTTCCATGAGGATCACAGATTATATCTTTGTTGGAGACCCTCCTGTTCTCTGTAAGAATTTCTCCTTGCACTTGCTGCTGGAATTTTCTCCTTTAGCTAGCCTTGGGATGGAGTTGGGCTGAGAGTTTCTAATACATTTGGTTTTAAAAAAAAAAGCTCTCCCCAAGTATTAAAAATGATGCATTTAAAAAGTTTTTATTTTATTTTGTGGGGCACCTGGCTGGCTCAGTCAGTAGAGCATGCGACACTAGATCTCAGGGTCATGAGTTCGAGCCCCACCTTGGGGGAACTTAAAAAAAGAGATTACTTAAAAGAAGAACAAAATCTTTTTTTTTTTTTGTAATTTTAGATTTACAGAAAAGTTGAAAAGAGGGTTAAGTTTACATATACTCCTCACCCAGTTTTTTTTTTTTAAGATTTTATTTACTTATTTTAGAGAGAGACAGCGTGCACTGTTCACACGCGGGGGTGTAGGGGGAGCGGAGGGGGAGGGAGAGGGAAAGAATCTCAAGCTGACTTGTGCTGAGGGCAGAGCCTGACTTGGGGCTCGATCTCACGACCCTGAGATCATGACCTGAGCCTGAACCAAGAGTGGGATGTTTATTTTATTTTATTTTATTTTTTTTAAAGATTTTATTTATTTATTTGAGAGAGAGAGAATGAGAGAGAGCATGAGAGGGAAGAGGGTCAGAGGGAGAAGCGGATTCCCCGCTGAGCAGGGAGCCCGATGTGGGACTCGATCCCAGGACTCCAGGATCATGACCTGAGCCGAAGGCAGTCGCCCAACCAACTGAGCCACCCAGGTGCCCAAGAGTGGGATGTTTAATGGACTGAGCCACCCAGCTGCCCATCACCCAGTTTTCTTCAATGTTAACATCTTATGTGTACATTTATCAAAACCAAGAGGCCAACATTAGTACAACACTATTAACTAAACTCTAGAGCTTATTTGAATTTCAACTGTTTTTCCACAATGCCCTTTTTCTGTCCCAGGATCCCAACCAAGATACCACATTACTTTAGTTGGCGTGTCTCCTTAGGCTCCTCTGGTCTATGACAGTTTCTCTGTTTCCTTATTTTTCATGACCTTGACAGTTTTGAAGAGTATTGGTCAGACATTATGTAGAATGTCACTCAAATTGGATTTGTTTAACGTTTTCCTCCTGATTACTCTGGGATTATGGGTTTTCTGGAAAAATACTACAGAAGCAAAGTTCCTTTCTCATCATCTCATGTTGGGGTACATGTTATGAACATGAGTCATTACTGGTAACGTTAACTTTGATCACTTAGTTAGGGTGGTTCTTACGAGGTTTCTCAACTGTGAAGTTACTAGTTTTTCTTTTCTATACTTAACTCTTTGGAAACTGGTCAATAATTCCAGGGTGTGGATTTGGGAGTGAGACCACCACAAATTTCACCACAGACTTATTGTGTGATCTTGGGCAAATTACCTGATATCTCTATGTTTCAAAATTTTCATTTTAAGATGAAGATCGAAATGGTGCCCATTCCACCAGTTTGTTGAGTGGAATGAGAAGATGTATATAAAAGAGCCTAGCACAGTCTCTGGCACATAAGTGCTCACTGACGCACACTATGATTATTGTTACTATCATCACTAGTTTTTTCCTAGGCATGTATATTTAAATTTTAATAGCAATTGTTAACTTGCTGTTTTGGTAGATTCTAAAGACTTTTGATGGGTGCCTGGCTGGCTCAGTCAGTAGAGCATGTGACTTTTTAAAAAAATTAACATATAATATATTATTTGTTTCAGGGGTCTTTTTTTTTTTTAAAGATTTTACTCATCCATTTGACACACAGAGAGAGAGAGAGACAGAGAGAGAGAGCATGTGGGAGCATAAGCAGGGGGAACAGCAGAGGGAGAGGGAGAAGCAGACTCCCCACGGAGCAGAGGGCCCGATGCGGGGCTTGATCCCAGGACCTTGGGATCATGACCTGAGGTGAAGGAAGCCGCTTAACCAACTGAGCCACCTATGTGCCCCATTTTTTCTTTTCTTTTCTTTTTTTTTTTTGAACATGTGACTCTTGATCTCAGAGTTATTAAGTTCAAGCCCCATATTGGGTATAGAGATTACTTAAAAATAAAATCTTAATAAAAAAGTAAATAGGGGCGCCTGGCTGGCTCAGTCGGTTAAGCATCTGCCTTCAGCTCAGGTCATGATCCCAGGGTCCTGGGATCGAGTCCCGCATCGGGCTCCCTGCTCAGCAGGAAGCCTGCTTCTCCGTCTGCCTGCCGTGCTCTCTCTCTCTGACAAATAAATAAATAAAATCTTTAAAAACAAAAGTAAATAAAAACTTTTGATCTAGATGCTTTAATTAGTATTTTTCTTTCTTTCCTTTTTAAAATTTTATTTTATTTTTATTTTTTTTAAGATTTTATTTATTTATTTGCGAGAGAGAGAATGAGAGATAGCACGAGAGGGAAGAGGGTCAGAGGGAGAAGCCGACTCCCTGCTGAGCAGGGAGCCCGATGTGGGACTTGATCCCCGGGGCTCCAGGATCATGACCTGAGCCGAAGGCAGTCGCTTAACCAACTGAGCCACCCAGGTGCCCTTTTCTTCTTTTTTTTTAAGATTTTATTTATTTGTCAGAGAGAAAGAGCGCACAAGCAGGGAGAGTGGCAGCCAGAGGGAGAAGCAGGCTCCCTGCTGAGCAAGGAGCCCGATGTGGGACAAATTAGTATTTTTCAGAGTGGTCCTCAGATTGAATTAGCATGTCTGGGAGTAGGCTCCAGGAAACTCATGTTTATCAAGTTTCCCAAGGGATTCTGATGTGCACTAAAGTTGGAGAATCCTTTCCTTGGACACTAAAAAGCCGAGAAAGGGAGAGGGAAGGAACATCAGTAGAATGGGTCAACCCCAGCTGGTCAAGGATGACACTGGGGACACTGTAGTGCAGGGGATGACTCTGGTTCTCTACTCAGAAAGACCTGAGTTTGAATCATAGTGACTAGTGTGGCCTTACGTTAGGTTATGACTCTACTGAGCCTGGCACACATAAGTGGCTCCTTCCCTCTCCAAGTCTTTGACAATTATCACTTTTTCAGCTAGGCTTTCCCTGACCACATTATACATATAAGATTCTCTCCCTCCCGCACTCTCCAGTCCCTGTTTTACTTTTCTCAGAATCATTTATCACCACCTAATATGCTATCTATTTTCTTGTCTCTCCCACTACAAGTAAAGCTCCATGAAAACTTTGTCTATTTATTGATGTAGCCTCCGTGCCTAAAACAAAGCACGGCACATAATAGGCATTCAATAACTACGAGTTGTATGAACTGATTTACTTTTTCCCTCCAGTTTTACTGAGGCATAATTGACAAACTAACTGCATTACTATTTTTTAACTTTTTTTTTTTTTAAAGATTTTATTTATTTGACAGAGAGAGAGAGAGACAGCGAGAGTGGGAACACAAGCAGGGGGAGTGGGAGAGGGAGAGGCAGGCTTTCCGGCAAGGAGGGAGCCCGATGAAGGGTTCGATCCCGGGGCCCTGGGATCACGACCTGAACCGAAGGCAGACGCTTAACTACCGAGCCACCCAGGCGCCCCTGACTGCATTACTATTAATCTAGGATGCTTCTTAGCTGGTTGAGCCCCAGGCGAAGGGTGAAGGGATCTTGAACTTTTCAGGCTTATTTTTACTGTTGATCAGCGTCCTTTCCCCCTTCGCCCCCCTTTTTAAGTAAGATCTGTGCCCTAGGTGGGGCTTGAACTCATCAACCCCAAGATCAAGACTCTCACGCTCTACCCATTGAGCCAGTCAGGCACCCCAGATCGGACAGACCCCTTTTCCCCACTGTCCCTTGGGTCAGTCTCCCAGAGGAGTTCCCGCTTCCTCAACAATTGGTCACAGACAAGTCTAACTGGTCCTCCCTCGGACACAGGATAAATAACGATAAGCAGGAGCAGCCGAGCCCCAACTTTGACCAAGAGTTTCTCCCCTCCTTTCCTCACTACCCAGTACGTGACTCGGAAGGGATTTCAATACGAACAGCCGTCTCTTCCACCCAGGTTGATTCCATCGGGCCAAAGGGGGAAAGTGTCCTATTGAAGAAGCCACTGCGGTACGGGTAGGGGTCAGCGGGCTGGACGGCTTCCCTTTCCGCGCAGGAGCGTTCAGTCGCAGCTCCGCGACTATCGCGATAGAAGAGCTGGATCGGCGCTGGCCCTTTAACAGCCCCTTCCCGAGGGCCTGCCCCGCGCGTGCGCACTGCGGTTCTGCGCTTGTCATCATGGCGACGCGGGGCCATGTGCAGGACCCTAACGACAGGCGCCTCCGGCCCATTTACGGTGAGTGCCTGGGGCCAGCCTCTTGTCGGCCGGACGCGTCGAGAGCTGCTGAGGCCGGGGCGAAGGTCCAGGAGGGGCGCTGAGGGGGCGGGCGCGGAGCTGGCGGGCGCGGGGGGCGGACCGCGCGGGCCTCTAGGCCGCAGCCCCGGGCCTCGCGTAGGCGCTGGCCGGGCCTTCTTGAGCCCAGCGGTGGCAGCGGCGCGGTCCAGGCAGCGTCTCGTCAGCAGAGCTGGCCCGACGTGCGAGACACACTCTCGCTGAGACGTGCGCTGCCCGCAGGCTGCGTTGTTAATGCCGCACCAAGGAAGACCCAGGATCTCAGGTGGATCCCAAGCCAGGTGAAAGCTGGCTCCGGCATGAGGGTGCGACACTCTGCTTGAGGGAAAATTCCTCACTAAAGACATTTTACTTAGGAGAACCGGGCCTCGGGGGTCGTCTGACTAGTTGTGCTCGGTGCATATGGAGAAACAGGTCCAAAGAGGGGAAGGGGCTTATGCAAGGTCACCCAGATCGAGTCAGGAGCAGGCCCTATTCGAGGCTCCTAATCCAGCGCTCTTTGGTGGAGAAACAGCTGCTCTGGGCGCACGTGGGAGGCGGGGTGTGTGTGGGGGGGTCGTGGGCCCAAAATAGCGGTGAAGAGACAGTGTTAGCTCTTGTCAGAGGGGCATGCAGGGCTGCTGCAGGGCTTTTCCTCTCTGCAGCTTCTCTGGTTTCTCTGCAGCTTCCCTTGTGCTAAGTGGATCCCCCTCCTTAACGCTTACCTCAACTCTCAGGCATTCAGACCTTGATGTCATCCTGCTTACCCGGCTGTGAAAAATCAACAGATTTGAGTCAGGGAGAAACACCTTTTCAGTAACCAGGATGTTCTGTAATTGGGCAGTGGTCCTTTTTGCAGTTCCTCTCTCTCCTCATAGATAGTTGGTCTGTCTTAGTGAACAGTGAGGAAGGCTTCAAGGTCAGTGGTTTTTGCCAAACTAGACCTGGAGCTTATAGTGTAAATGTTACTAAATGGAGGTTTCTCCACATGGCTGAGATCATTCAACTTTTTTGGAGGAGGGGGCAACTTTATTTCTGGCACGGTTGGTCCTGCTTTTAAAATTTGTATGATGCTTTACTTACATCTCATTTGATTCTAGCAACAACCTGTGAGGTGGGAAATAATAGCTAATGTATCTAGACCGATTATTATGTTATTCTCTGTGATTGGCCCTTCACATGGCTTATCTCATTTAATATTCACACATTCTGATGAAGTGGATAGTTTTTTCCAGTCCTGCAAATCTCCCCCCACCCTTTTTTCCCCACAGATGAGAAAAATGGGGCTTTGTTGATAATTGTCTAATTTGTCTAAGGTCATTCAGCTAACATTTGTTGGAGTTAGGGGCCTAACCCCAGTGTCCCAAGCTCACCCTCTTAACCACTGCTAGAAAATTCCTCGCTTTAAGGGGAAGACACTGACTTTCCAAAGGTCACACGGGTGGTGAGTGGCAGAGATAGGACTCTATTTCCACTTCCCCATGGTGTATGTTACCATACCCTCCAGTATATATTTTCAGAGGGCAGGGATGAAATAGGATGATTGAGGGTAGGAACTGAATCCAGCCAGGGTCCACAGTTTCTAGCTTATTATGACTCTCTGCAGCAGCAGCTGCCTGCAGACATTTTTTTTTTAAGTTTTATTTATTTAAGTAATCTCTTCACTCATCGTGGGGCTCGAACTCACGACCCCGAGATCGACCCCAAGATTGAGTCGCGTGCTCCTCCTACTGAGCAACCAGGTGCCCCCCTCCTTTAAACTAAAAAGATTCAGTACTTTTCTTTTCTTAATATAAATTTTAGTTAGCTAACATGCAGTGTAATACTGGTTTCAGGAGTAGAATTCAGTGATTCATCAGTTACATACAACAAACACCCAGTGCTCATCATAACAAGTTCCCTCCTTAATACCCATCACCCATCTAGCCCATCCCTTACCCACCAGATTCAGTACCTTTTTTTTTTTTTAAAGATTTATTTATCTATTTTAGAGAGAGCACTCATGTGCTTGGAGGAAGGAGGATGGCGGGGGAGGGGGGGAGAAGCAGAGGGAGAGGGAGGAAAAAGAAACCCAAGCAGACTCTGCATATGGAGCCTGACTCGGGGCTCGATTCCAGGACCTCGAGATCATGACCTGAGCTGAAATCAAGTCTGATGCTTAGCTGACTGCGCCATCTAGGTGCCCCCAAGATTCAGTATTTTTGAGAATAATTGGATTTCTAAAATTGTTCTTGAGGACCAAAGGAAATGCCTTTGGTGTCCCATAAGTCATTTAGAAATAACAGTGTTTTGAACTACTCAGTAAGAAAAATCTTGTCCATTTCACGTTGCTAAACATTAGGGTATGTTAACTGGAAGTGACAAGTTGTATTGTCAAACTGAAGCGAGAATTATGTAGCTTTTGTTATAGTTCATGGGGCGAGTATTAGAAGAAGCTTCCTTTAAGAATTTCAAGCAATTAGGGGCGCCTGGGTGGCTCAGTTGGTTAAGTGACTGCCTTCGGCTCTGGTCATGATCCTGGAGTCTCAGGATCGAGCCCTGCATCTGGCTCCCTGCTCAGCAGGGAGTCTGCTTCTCCCTCCGACCCTCCCCCCTCTCATGTGCTCTCTCTCTCATTCTCTTTCTCTCAAATAAATAAATCTTTAAAAAAAATTTCAAGGCAATTAATATCAACTGGCAGGAACAGGAAAAGAGAGGGTACCAACTGTCCTTGACTTCAGCACTTTTGACCTCCAAACTTTGGGACAGCCCTTGCTTTTGTGTTTAAATATATTAGTACCCCTAAACCACTATTGTTACTTGAATTCAGACATTTATTAGCTGGTAAATGAAAAGCTTATGCTTGGTAGATAGTGCTTGCCCACCAGCCAGAAGTTCAACTGTCAGCATTAACTGAGTGCTTGTTTGTATGCTAACTGTCCTATTAGGTAGTAAGATTATTGTGATCACAGTAGTAAACTAAAGGCCAGAGATTAAATTGCTCAGAGTTAACAGCTAGTAAATTGTAGATCTGGGATTTGAACATAGGCGTTGTCACTGAGAGCCCAGCTGTTCATTGAGTTCAGAATTAGCAGCATCACTCTCTTTGTACAGCATTATTTGTACTGCCAGGGTTTTAGCATTTTACAACTGTTGGAAACTGCCTGTAACCTCAGCTCTTGCTGAATATTGTTTAGGGTAGAAGTGGACAGTACTGTATAGGTGATTAACTGTGAAATTGTGGTGAGTTGAGATGTGGTGCGTTGAAATTATATTTTCATTGTCCAGGTTTAGAATAACTTTTCAGAAAGCTCATTAGTTGAAACATCTTCAGAGTGCTTCTCATTACTTATAAATTGGTAAGTTTAGGTATTATATTTTTAGTGTTTGAAAACCACGCCTGACCTTACTAGAACACCCACTTTATTCATTTTCGTTTTGCTAAAATTATTGTCTTGTGCTATGTGGTTCTTTACAGATTTTGTACTCTGACATGACTTGGTGAGCGCCAATGCTTTTTTCTACCATTATTATTAATTTAAAAATGTTTTTAGTGGCTAGGGGGACAAGCAGGGTGGAAGTGATGGTCAAGTATGGCACATCATAAATTTGTGTAGAATACAGGAATTGCTAGGTCAGCAATTGTAAAATAGAGAAGTTTCAAAGACAAAAAATATTCTCATAGTTTTTAGAATGCACATACATATTTTTATTTACTTTCCTGGCACACAATCTTTTTTTTTTTTTAAAGATTTTATTTATTTATTCATGAGAGACAGAGAGAGAGGGAGAGAGAGAGAGAAGCAGAGGGAGAAGCAGGCTCCCAAGGAGCAGGGAGCCCGATGCGGGACTCGATCCCAGGACCCTGGGATCATGACCTGAGCCGAAGGCAGACACTTAACCATCTGAGCCCCCCAGGCGCCCTGGCACACAATCTTTTGTTCTCATCTGTCTTACTGGCTTTCAGTCTTGCTATAGTCTGGGTGAGGTGTAACATACTTCCTAGCTGTGTTTCCTGAATGATAGTGACTTTTTAGTGAGTTAAGACATTTCCCTTTGGTGCCTGGCCAACTCCAGGTAATTATTCTGCTATAGTTCATTAGTAAATGCTCCCAAGTCCTCAATCCAATGTGGTTTTTATTCTGAGCCTTCTGTTGGGCATTGTTAGCCCTGCGAGTCATGTCCTGTTTTCCCCGAGGAGTGGCAGGGTGTCTTGGTGAGTGAAGATTATCTTGTCCTTCTTTAGAAAAGTCACTTGGTACAACCTGTTTTCTTTCTTTCTTTTTGTTTTTGAAATTATTATGACCATTTAAAAAGGTCTGACTTAGGGCGCCTGGGTGGCTCAGATGGTTGGGCGTCTGCCTTCGGCTCAGGTTGTGATCCCAGGGTCCTGGGATCGAGTCCCGCATCGGGCTCCCTGCTCCTTGGGAGCCTGCTTCTCCCTCTGCCTCTCTCTCTCATGAATAAATAAATAAAATCTTAAAAAAAAAAAAAAAGGTCTGAGTTAGACCTATACATTCTAAAGCATTTTAGACTTAAAAGAATGATTTTAATGCACAGAAAATTCCTAAAAGAATACATAGAGTAGAGCATGGTGAGAGCATAGGTCAGGTTTAAAAGACTAATGCTTTTCATGTTATGCCCGTATAAACTGTTCAGATTTTTTTTTTTAATTATTTTTTAACCATGGCTTGCACTGTTTTTGTTATTTAAAAAATTAGTTGGGGGCGCCTGGGTGGCTCAGTTGGTTAAGCGACTGCCTTCGGCTCAGGTCATGATCCTGGAGTCCCAGGATCGAGTCCTGCATCGGGCTCCCTGCTCAGCAGGGAGTCTACTTCTCCCTCTGACCCTCCCCCTTTCATGTGCTCTCTCTCTCTCTCAAATAAAGAAATAAAATCTTTAAAAAAAAATTAGTTGGGGCACCTTGGTGGCTCAGTTGGCTGAACGTCTGACTCTTGGTCTTAACTCAGGTCTTGATCTCGGGC